TTTTTTTAAAAAATTAAGAAAAGTTAAAAATAAACCTTTTATTTCCTTTTATTTTTCTAAACTTAAAAAGGGTAATTTTTGTACTTTTTCTCAAGAGAAAAATGGAATAAATATTACAAAAACGAAATGATTAAGCCTGGGATCAAACCTAGGCTGAGTTTTGCCTTTTCTAAGAGAAAAAAATGGAATTATGAAAAAATCAAAAAAATTGCCATAGTGGGGCTCGAACCAAGGACGCAATGGCATATTTGCACAACCTTAACCACTGGGCTGTCAACATTGTTCAACTGTTAATATATATCTAAAAACAATCGATATTTAGTATATGTATTCGAAATTTTTTTCCGAAGCATCTGACCAACCTTGTCATGTCATAGCTCTGCCTCTGCATGCTTGCACTAAAACTTCAAATACCTGAACCTTAAGAGTTTCCAAAAGGTATTAAGACTAAATAAGTATTTGAGGGCACAATTTCAATCAAAATAAAGCCTAAATGAGTCCAATTTGTGGACTCATCAAAAGCGCCCCAAACTAAAAATGAAAATGTGTCCTTACAGTACAAACATCAAAAAGAGAACACGAGGGACTTTCTAATATTAACTCAATTAGAAGTGGAGCTATAATGGCTTGAGAGAAAATCATTCTCATCATCTGTACCACACAACCTCCTGAGTGTCTCTATCATCTTCATCAGAAATTTTCTTTTCTTTTTGTGCTCCTTCTTCTGTTTTTGTCTTAAACTTTAGCCAACATGTCTTTTATATTTTTTTGCTCATGCACTATAGTGGACAAAGTCTATGAAATCCTACCCAAGGCAGAGGATGAGCCCTATTTAAGCATAAGCTCTTGAATGTGAGAGTATATACCATGCATTTGTCAATCAATATATGTGAACTAATGCTAGAGTTTCAATCTACAGTTGTCCAACGAATGTGAAACTGGAGAAACACTCTCGATGCAAGTTCCATATTCCGGATCAAGGGTATCGATCCTCCTCTTCTTCATGACATTACCCAAAGATTTCTTCTTCAATAGATGAATAGGCTTTTCAGGGCCTTTAAGTGTCCATTTTCTTTTTGTCCACCCCATCATTTTGACATACGTAAGTAATCAAAGAAGGAAAGTAAAAGACAATTAATATCTTCAATCACTATCTCTTGTATGAGTTGCACAATAATATGGTCGATATCAATAGAAAGTATGTCCATAATAGCACAGATCAACAATGCATTATCCGGAGACATATTGGACATTCTTCGAAGGGATAACTCAGTTGCATATATATGATTGAGAGTAAATTCTTGGCCTCAGTATGAACTCATATGACTCAATCCAAAGGTTTTTTCTCTATCCACTGTGGTTGTTGGTACCAATTGCACACACATGTGTATGTGGCCATACAAGTAATATAGTGGCTCTAAAAGAGTTGGATTATCGAACTCAAAGGACTTGTCAATTAACTAATTTTAACTAAATTATACTAGTCTAATTATTTTTTCAGGTGTGACAAAAAAGATTAATTTATATTTAACTACTAAGAACGAAAGAATGACATAGTAAGCATTAACACTCATCTCCATAAATAAAAACTAGGAATTAATTTATATTTAACTACTAAAAATGAAAGAATGAAATAGTAAGCATTAACACTCATCTCCATAAATAAAAACTAGGAACAATATCACTTTGGTTGATCAAAAAGTTAAGTCATAGACAAATTTCTAAACATCAAGTACACTTCTCAATCATTATGCAAATATATAAAAATAAATATCAAACCTCTAACCTCAAGGACGATGTCACGATCCATGGGTATCCCCTAGATGTAACAAGGCATATAAGACCCCGATACGCCTCATACAAACTCTTTATCATATCTGTTGACAACCAATTTTGACCGACCTTAACCATTTTTAGGAATGTTATTTTATTAAATACGTATTTTAAAAATTATTTTAAAGTTTAGAAGTTTAGTCGATTTTGCATGAAAATCATATATTTTAGTATTTTTCCTTTATAAAATTATTGTTAAAACACTTCAAAATTTATTAATGAATTTCTTATATTTTAAAATTTAAGTGATTTTCGATTATATAAAAAATATTTTCAAAATTTATCGGATTTTTATTGAATAGCAAATTTCTTAATTTTTCTCAAAATTATTTAAATTCTAGCGTATTCTATTATAATTTTTTTTCAATTCCAGCCTATCCAACTCCAATTTTATTTCAATTATAACCATCATCTTCCTTTAAATTCTAGCCGATTTTATTACAATTTTAGCCATTCTATATCCAATTCAATTTGATTTTAAAACTCCATCTATTTATATCATCCGTCCATTTAAATAATTAAATTCTAATCGTATCCTAACCCTCTATCTCTATCTAATCTAACGGTTGAGATCAATTTTTCCTATCTCTTTCTTTAACACCAAAAATTATAATTCATTCTCCCTCCCTTCTCCCTGGCAGCTGCCTCCTCCCCCTTATCTCTTTCTCCCCTCGTTTCCTTTTCTCCGGCGAAACGCCGCCACCCTCTGTCCTTCTCTTAATCCTTTCTCTTCTTCTCTCCTCCGCCCCTTTCTCCTTTTCCTTCTCTTCCCCCCGTTCCTCCTCCCCTCGCCTTCCTCTTCCTTTTACTCTAACCACCAGCAGCAACTAGGCAGCAAGGGAAGAGGCAACCGCCAGCAACGCCGACGACGAGCAGCCACCAGCAGCAACGTTGCAACTGGAGACAACTACCAATTACCCCCCCTCTACATTTCTTTCTCCACTCTCCTCCCTTCTCCTCCCCTTTCTCTTTCTCTTTTCTCTTCCTCTTTTTGCAGGTACCAGCATCTCCTGCCGGCGAATACAACACCGTCCAGCAGCAGCGAGGACAAGAACAACCGGACAACAGCTTGGCGAGAAGCAACTCCGGCGAAGTTTCAAAGATTTTAAGCTAGTCAAAAGACACATCTTTTAACAGATCCGTCCCCAGTACACTCTATTATTTTGTTGTTGCTCCACATAAATGATTGTTGATAATATTTATCTATTGTCTAATTATTCTTGCTGTAGTTTTTTGGGATGTTCAAATGATGTGCAAGTTGCAATTGGTAAATGTTTAATACTAGTTTATAATTTTGTATCTATAATTGAATATTGATTGATCAATTAAAATAGAGCCTTGCAACAGATTTAATCATGTTGGGTTTTACTCTTCCTCACGTATGAAAATTCTAGCATGATATGTGATTGTTGTCAGATATTGATTTCTTGTCATCTTTAAAAGAAAATTAATTCCACGTGCCAGCATATTATTACGGTCTTGATTTGTTCGTCCGCCATGATTAGTGTTCTTCCCATATTTTAATTTAGGACAAAGCTTTAATTACTCCAAATCTTATGGAGGGACATTGACATTTGATGGTAAATGTTGATCATTGATTTCCTTTAAACAATTATTCATATTTGTTTGTTTGTCTAATTTATGAATTTCGGAAAGTTGAGATTTTTTTCCTTGATTAAGCTTGAACTGATTTCTTACTTATTTATATATGGTAAAATAATAATAGTAATTTAAAAGTTGATTTTGGCTCCTTTGCAATAAGAAAAATAATTTTAGTTAATCCTTCCTTCCATTAATATTTGGCTTGATTAATGACAATCTTATTATTTAATTGTCATATTTAGTTGCTCATATTTGGTAAAATAAATTAATAATAAAATTTGATTTTTGGGCTCTTCTTTATTTAAGTAAAATAAATTGCTCTTCCTAATTCTTTCTTGCTTAAGTTTGGTAATATATATTTTTTAATAATTTGATTTGACTCTCTTAAAATAAGA